TATATATATACTGTATATATATATATATATATATATATATATATTGCTGAGATCTGACATGGTAAAATGTGTTAAACAAAGCTGAGAGTACACAAATTTGTTGTTGTTGTACACTTCTCATTTGCTAGAAATTTCTCCAGCTCTCATTGCAAATTAATCTTTTCCAGTCACTTTGTTGCAGCAAATCACTGTCAGTATTAAACACCTCATAAGACACTTAAGTCATAGACTCTAGTGCTGCAGTATTTGTACTTTTCCATCTCGAAATGAAGGTAAATCAGGCGAGTGGTTTGTGCTGAATGATCCATTTGGCACCCAGCTGATTGATTCGGTCCAACTCCCTCTGGTACTGAGCCTGGCTTAAAGCTCTGGACTGGGACAGCACCGCACAGTAGGATCCTTTCCATCAGATGGCATTTGATATCCTCTCAGCTTCACCCTGCTGAGAACGCCATCTCTCTATTGCTGTGCCCGGGCACCCGCCACCCCGCTCTCTGATCCTGGAGCTGAGAGCCATCCATATCACACACAGTTCACATTGGAACAGTCTGGATTGGGATCAAGCTGAGAGGACTTATCCACATCAGCTTGCTGACTAAGGTGAACTTATAGCCAGTCAGTGTTTGGGTTAGGGAGGTTTAGGAGTTTCAGTGTCCATAATCAGGAACGTACGCTGTAGGAACAAGGCCACCAGTTGGGAGGGGTGCCTCGTTCCCCTCGTTCATTAATGCTGGCCTAATTACACTCCCCGGCCTCTCTTCTCTGCCAAAAGAGTCCCCAGTAGAGCTGTCGTCTCCCCTGCAGACATAGTGGAAGAACAGAAGGAACTCTGAGAGAGAGGGAGGAATGGAGTTACACTAACGCAGGTGAATGGATCTGAAGCCAAGAGACATTATGACTGACTTGAGAGTCTCTGTCCCTTAAGTGTTATTGGTTGATATCCATCCAGCCTGACACTGGCTCTCCTCTGCCACTTGCCAAGTCGGTGATCATCATTTTAATGGTATCTGGCTGCTTCTCTTGGGTTTGTAGTGGGCTTTCCCTCATTCTCATTCACTGTGGGTGGAGCTCCAGGTGGGAGGGGCTTATTGGAATGCAAAGGAACTTCCGTAACTTACATTAAGAGACATAATAGATCATAGTCAGAGTACAAGCCATATTGACTGTTGATAATTCAGGCAACTAAACATTGATGTCTTTTTTCCCCATTTGAAATTTGTGAGAAGACTGAATGTTCAACCTCCAGGCATAACGAACACACTGTGCTTCTATTCTTCAAAGCCTCATTTTCATTTGTGCCATTTTAAATTTGGCATCTACACTAACTAAGCCCTAAAGTTTTTGTCTTATATTCAACTCAAATCAGCTGTTTTCACATTCATTCTTTTTCAAATTCAGGACTGAATAAGCATTTAATACTGAATAATACTGAGTAACTTTAAAATTCTGTTATTTTAAAATTCAAAATAAAACACTAGAAATAAATTGATTCATTTAAATGGTAGTAAATCTAGGTATCACAACATTATATACATATATGTGTGAAAAAAGGTGATGGGGTTCTATAAATATAAATATATTATAATTGTATTTTATATATAATATATAAATATATTAAATATATTATATTATTTCTTGAATGGTGCATCACTGCCTATAGATTATCTTGTAATGGTGTGATCATTGTTTCTTAGATAAAGGTTCTTAACTCTTTCTTGATGCTCAAACTATAGAGCATGGCACTAGTGACACCAAGGTCGTGGGTTTGATTTCTAGGGAGATTGTGAATTGCATAAATGTGTACCTTGAATGCAATGTAAGTCACTTTAGAGAAAAGCATCTGCCAGATGCATAAATGTAAATGCCCTGACATTAATAGTGCTAATGCATTTTCATTGATTTGTTCAGATGGGAGCTGAAAGTATTCTGATTCTCTCTCCGTATGTAAAAGGATCTTTGAAATGAAGATAGACAGCAGCGCGTAAGCAATTACAAGCACACACCGGCTCGCAGACTCTCACGCATTGATTGAAAAACTGGAGCAGCATGGGGTGAAACTTTAAGGCCTGGCCATGAGGAGATGGTAGTGGTCTTTTTTACCCAACTGATGGATTTCCTGTCAGCCTGGAGCCATCGTGTCCAGATGGTGGCATGTGCTCAAATGCTTCAAAAGAGCAAAAGTTGAATGTAATGAAGTCTACTCAGTCCTGGAGAGAATTGAATGAGCTGCATATATTTTAGCATCTCTCAGTCTACTTGGATGACTTGGTTTTGAACTTCTTGCTTTCTTTTCTCTCACGTTTAGTCTTTTCTCTCCCTCCCGTTCTCCTTCTCCATCCCCTCAGGTTTTTTCCAGACATTTCTCGTGAAGTCTCTGACCACTGCGTCCATGCTTGCTGACAGGTGTCCTTGAACCGAGGTCAGATGCTGTCGGCGTACTTATCTACCACAAAGTGATATTTGGGAGTCAAGTGAAGCCGCTGACATTTAGTAGCTGAGTTTTGAAGGGGAATTTGGTATTCGCCGAGAGCTGCATCCCAAATCCTGTTTAGGAAAGCGAGTTTAGTGTGTTCGGGTGGTATAAGAGTGCTTGTGAGGTCTTTGAATGAATGTTATTTAGCCCAGCGGTGAAAGATTGTTAGAGTTTCTTAAATTGTGAGGGGCTTCTGGGCGTGCATCAGCTGGTATTCCCAGCGGTCTTAGAGGAATATTTAGAGACAGGATGGAAACGATGAACCAATGTTCCTACAGCCCTGTATATATAGCACACAGCCTCAATACACACGACCCACATTCACTTCGTCACTCACAGGAAGTGAGAAACTGGGTCTAGAGTACATTGACGGTCAATAGGGATAACATATACACATCTACAATTTGCAAACACACTCAAATTGTCCATCTTGTGGGTCTGGCTCTAAGAATAATCTAATGGTTAATTCCAGGTGTTACTTCTTTTGCAGGTCACCATTTGCTGCCGTTGCAGATTATTCCGTGACCAGGAACAACGTGATCCAGCTGTGCCTGGAACTCACTACCATAGTACAGCAGGTAATGACATTCACCAACCAAATCAACTAGATCAACACTTTGACAGTCTTGTATGAGATGCAGCAAACACACATGAACACTCATGGTTGAAGAAAAAAACAGAAATAGTCTAATTATCTGAAATATTTTATGTAGGTCATATATGTCTCTACTCTAGGCATGGAGAAGGACTTTCAGAGTAGATTTAGCTCTGACATTGAGTTAAAGGAATAGTTCACCCAAAAATGAAAATTTTGTCATCATTTACTCACCCTCATGTCGTTCCAAACCTGTATGAATTTCTTAGAGTTTAAAATTGAGTTGTTGAACATAAAAGAAGATATTTTGAAGAATGCTGGTTATCAAACAGTTGATGTTCCCCATCGACTTCAATAGTATTCCTTTCCCTACTATGGAAGTCAATGGGAACCAACAACAGTTTGGTTCTTCAAAATTCTTCAAAATATCTTCTTTTGTATTCAACATAAGAAATAAAATTATATAGGCTTGGAACGACATGAGGGTGAGTAAATGATGACAAAATTGTCATTTTTTCATTCCTTTAAATGTTGTATTAAATGTTGTTTTTTAATCTTTTTTGCCAAATATGATGGTGAGTGATTAAAAATGTAAAATACAAAGGCAGCTATATATTTTCATGTATAAAAAAATTAATTAGTGTAAGTTTCTGTTTCCAAAATAAAATGTTTATTATTGTAAAAAATAGGTAAATTAGTTAAATTATCTGGAAAATATTTACTCTTTTATCAAGATTAACACTTAGATACAGCATTTTTACACAGCTTTTAGCAGTTTTCCCCTTAATATTAAAATCTAATGTATTAGATTCTACTGTCATTAGAATAAAAAATATTTTGTCATTAATCAAATAGTTTCTTAACAGTCTCTTACTATAAAATTTGAATTTGTGATTGTGAATGCAATTTTATGTAAATACACTACTGTTAAAAAGTTATAAATAAAAATAAAAATGTTATATTTTTTAATATCTTATGCTCACCAAGGCTGCATTTATTTAATAAAAAATTATAAAACAGTAATATTACAATTTACAATAACTGTTTTGTCAATTTAATACATTTTATAATTTTTTTATTTATTCATGTGATGGCAAATCTGAATTTTTAGCAGCAGTCTTCAATGTCACATTATACTTCAGAAAAAAAAAATCTTACAGACTCAAAACTATTAAATCTCCTAATCTAAGTAACAGTTTTGTTCAGCTGACAAGACAACAGTGTTCTTGGCCTTTATATTGACACCAGTGTCAATATAAAATAAATTTCTGTTGCATATTTTTATGACGAAAAAAATTACTGATGCACGTTTGAGATATTAATATGAAATGTTATTTAAACCTCTCTCACACACATCTGCTCTTCCCATATTTTTTCACATTTTAAAAAGTCTTTAGAATGTTTGGAAGGTTTTAGAATGCACTCTTAGGATGTCAAGGACTACATCTAATTTGCTACTGAGGCAGTGTGCATTGTGGGTAATGCAGTCTTGTAGAGCAGAGCAGGAAAGGAAACACGATCAGTGTGAAATAACCATGTCAGACAAAAGAGAAATATGAGAAAGGAGAAGGATTCAAGGCCCCTGCAGTGATGTGCGTGTGTGTTAGCGTGTGTGTTTGTGTACCCAGCAGATTATTTCTGGTAGGGTCAGAAGATCATGGCCAGCAAGAGCAGCATTAAATGGATGAGTCTGTCACAGCCAGCTCAGCCTGAACGCTGCACACAATCTCTCTCTTAATCCAGGACAGATTACAGCGTTGAAGCCAGAGATCTGGGTCTAATCTTAACTAATGCAACTAGTATTGAGCGCTCAGGACCAGCAGGGGCCCTTTCTCCAAATCGGCCCCTGAGAGATTAGGTCAAAATGGAACAGATTCCTCTCTCTCCTATTTGGCAGGTGTGTTTTTAGATGGATTCTACCTGATCCAAGTCGGTAATTAACTGATCCAAGATAATCCAAACTGGTTTAGCTGACCAGATGGACCACCAGCTGGTTGGGACCTGACTGAGTTGGTAGACAATCTTGTACCAGCCTAGCATGTTCCAAAAACCTGCTTGACCATCTGATTTCTTCGCCAGGGCACTTGACCAAGATGGTCGCTGGTATTCTATCAATGGACACAAACATCTAAACAAAAGCTTCGATGTCCACAGTTCCCATTACTATAATATTGCATTGTAACTTACATAGACCGTATGGATGAGCACCGCCTGCTGGCATCACTGTGATATTGATGTATCTCTATCTTTAGTTTGGGTGTGTTTGTCTCTCTCATTGTCTGGCTCTGTGTGGTGTTTACTTATAATTTAAAGTAATATTGCATCCAAAAATGAAAATTTCTCATTAATTTGCTCCTCATGCTGTTCCAAACGTACTTTCTTTTGTGAAACACAGCTGTTCTCAATTAAGTGAAAGTGAACACGGTCTGTGGCTGCTCCAAGCTGCAAAATAATGACAAAAAAAAAACGCCATAGAAGTGTCCACGTGACTTGTGCACATATATTCCTAGTGTCCAAAGCAATACTAAAGGTTCCTCTTCAGGAACTCGAGCTGCGTCGGAAAAAGCTAGGGGAACGCCTTCTGTGACCAGCTCTGAATAACATGTGAAATCAGTCCAATAGCTGAGCGGGACGTCACGGGCGGGTGACGTCATGACCAGGAAGCTATAAAAGCACGTGCGGCGGAGCCAGCGTCAGCTTTCTGTCATTCAGCGAAGCGCTCTGTGTGTGTCAGTCATATTTATTGTTGTCTGTCAATTGTGAAAGTCTATAAGCTCCAGCTATGTCTAAGCTCATGCAAAGACAAAGCATTTCAAGGGCGAGAGCAAGCCACGTTGTAGGTTGTGTGTTCCTCTCTGCAAAAAGCCACGTTATATCACGAGTGGGGATACACAGAGCCTGTGCGTGGTTTGCTTGGGAGCGAAGCACAGTTGTTACTGCCTTGCTTCGCTCTCAGAGAGCTCTCTTTGAGGAGGGAGCCTTCACTAGCGTTCCTCGCAGTGCCGGCCCCGCTTTCGCCGAGGCAGAGTGGCGGCTGTGCTCGTGGGTTTCACGTATGGATCTGTAATCACCAGATCCGGCGCCCGCTCTCGGGGTTTCGGAAGCCCGCGCTGCGGGCCTTCCCACCAGGGAGAGGGCGCGACGCTCCGCCTGTCTTTCTCCAAGGAGATTGATACGGAGGGCGTCAAAGAGCTCTCCAGTTGCACAAGCATCAGTTACACAAGCATATTTTGCCTGATATTGTAATGAGCAGCATTAATAGGGAGCGGAGCTCGCGCAGTCGGCTCTCGGGGGGCGGATTGTGCTTTTTTCCGCTGTTAAGAGCTCTGCTCTCGCCGGGCACGCTCCGGGGAGTGTGTTCGTGCCTGTGATCTTGCGATTGCGGTCCTGCTGCTGCTGAGGCACAGCGGCGACTGAGATCATGGGGATCGCACATGATCTAGCAGACGGGTTGGATATGGGTCTTCCTATTGCCAGCCGTGTTCGCTAGATCTAGAGCTTGTTCTCGGGGCTTGGAAGCCCACGCTGCGGTTCTTCCCCCTCTGAGTGAGTGCTGCAGCCCTCTTTCTCTGAGGAGATTGATGTTGTTTGTGTGACTGAGTGGCTCGCGCCTGCCAAGGCAATGCATATATTACATCATTTCGGTTTTTGATGTGAATCTTATTACACTAGACCGTATTTACTCATCTGGTTGCTTGATTGCATTTAATTCTGAGGAATAAAATGAAGTATTTGTCTGACTATGAGAAGTTAGATATACAGGGGCTCTTGGGATATAAATTTCTCGAGTGAGAGCACACGTTAACCTCTCTTCCTCTGAGGAGGTTGAGGCGGTCAGCAGGGGCTGCTGGGCAGAGCAGTCCCAACCTACCGTGTTCCAGCCCCTCATTCAGGGGGCCTCACTTCTCATACTCCGTAGCGTCTAGAGTCAGAGTGGCGCTCCGGGGCCGAAGGCTTCTAGCAGAAGGCGGGTCTGTGGACCGTCATTCTCGCTGGATAGTCGCGAGAGTAAGAGAAGGCCGGTCACTCACTGTCAAGCAGTTCCAGACTGCTTGGGCTGATGACAGCTGCGCCCAACGTGATAACACTTGGCCTGCTATACATGAGACCCCTACAGTGGTGGCACAAGAACAAGGGGTTCTCCCCGAGGGGAAACCCGCTTTGCATGCTCAAGGTCACGCGGAGGTGCCTACGTGCCTTAGACATGTGGAGGAAACCTTGGTTCTTGTCTCAGGGCCCGGTGCTGGGAGCTTCTTGTCGCCGCGTACGCTAGCAACAGATGCATCCCTCACTGGTTGGGGTGCGGTCATGAGTGGCCACCCTGCCCGTGGTTTGTGGAGTGGTCGCCATCTGACGTAGCATATCAATTGTCTGGAGATGCTGGCCATGTTTCGAGTTCTGAAACACTTTCTCCCAGACCTAAGAGGTCACCATGTGTTGGTGCGCACCGACAACACAGTGGTGGTCTCTTACATCAACTACCAGGGAGTTCTCTTGTACAAGCTGGCGCACCAGATACTTGTGTGTCCCAGGGCAAACTCCTCTCGCTAAGAGCAGTTCACATGCCTGGGCATCTCAATATGGGCTTCGTCTGTACGCCTTTCCTCCGATTTTTCTGCTCCCGGGAGTTCTGGAGAGAGTGCGCCGGGACGGGGCCCGTCTGTTGTTAGTATACCCGTTCTGGCCGGGCCAAGTTGGGTTTCAGGCCTGATTTCTCTCCTCGATGGCACTCTATGGGGGATTCCCGTCAGGAGAGATCTCCTCTCACAGGTTCCGGGCGCGCCCCCGCCCGGAGCTGTGGAAGCTGTGGGTGTGGCCTCTGAGGAGACACAATTCATAACTTCCGGTCTCTCAACCGAGGTTGTTGATACTATCCTCCATCCAGAGCTCCCTCTATGAGGAAACTGTATTTCTGTGGAGACCGCCAGCCTGACCCAGCTAACTGCCCATTTGGTACAGTTCTGGAGTTCCTGCAGGCCTGTT